AATTTGGTGATTATTTAAGTGGGGAAAATGAGTTCGGTAGAAGAGTGTAGTACACGTTTTACAAATAACTGCGAAATCAGTAGGTAGACCTGACTTCTTTAGACTGTAGTGAGTGGAGTGTTCAGTAATCAACGTGCCCAAGGCAGAACCACTGTTTGACAACTCCTGCCAGTACTGTGGGCAGACATTGAATTCAGACAACAATCTGGGCCGACCCGGTACAGCCGTCGGGTACTAAGCCTCTTCTTGTCGCCAAGTTTAGCAGTTGCTGCTATAATACCTCAACCGAACTTGGGTAAGAGGATACAACTTGGCGTACCACAGTCGCCACACATTATTAGCTGATGTACGTCTTCTGTGGCTCGGCGAATTTGGAGGATTTAACTGTAATTTCCACGAGGAGAATGAGATGGGCACGTAGCACGCATAGGCGAGGTGAGAAATGTGCAAATAACTTTGTTGGGAAGCTTGAGAAGAAGAGAACACTTCGAAGATCTAAGCGTAGATGAGAGGGCAATATTAAAATGAATTTTAGGGAAATTGTTTTTGGAAGGGGTGGATTGGATTTATCTGGTTCACGTTAGAGAACAGTGGCAGACTGTTGTGGACACGGTAATGAAACTGCGGGCTACAGAAAAGGGGGCAGGGAATTTATTGACTATTCGATCGTAGGCAAACTGTTACCTGCTCTAGAAGGATTCTGCTGGATGCAGTCGGTCGTATGTAGTTCACAGTCATGTTTGTACTGGCAAATTGTGGTCTTCTCGGTTGTGAGACTCTGAATTCTTTTACGCGGTTAACAAACTTTCGACTGTACTGAACATCTTAAATTTCACAAGCCTAACTTTGGACCAGTTATACTATATCAATGTTAGTCCCTAAAACCAGTCTTCAGATTCCACGGGTAATGTGCGATATTATTATTTAGACATAATTAGGCTTAATTATTTCCTATTTGTGAGTAACTAAGAATATTATTACAGGAGGCTCAAATAGAGTCTATAGTAAAAATAATAATTATAACAGAATACAAAGGAATTCCATAAGTCAGATACGAAGGTATTTTAAGACACATGGTAAAAGACAGAATTAATACGATGAACATAAAGTAACGGACGTTAAAGCAGACGAATTTGCGTTGAATTCTGGCATGTTCTTGCAACGACAATTCTCCTTTTTGTACATTTCTTGCTGTGACTCACATTTTACCTGCATTATTGTAATGTCCAAGCACGCAAAGTACTTTTATTATCAGGCAATTCTGTATTGTGGTTCTCCAATCTTGGTTTAGTCCTGTTTCCTATTAATCACGCTCTGACGTAATTAATCTCCATCACCGATCCTAACCTCCCTTAATTGGATCCCTCTTGAGGCAATAAAAACAATCAACCAAGCGCGATTGTTCCTGCAGCCATGTAGATTATGTAACGCTGTGCTAGCCAGCGATTCGTGAGCCATTTCAATAGCTTTCCGAACCAAATTTCATTTTTCTCTCTTTGGATGTGCGTAACGGAAAATATCACATAATGAGAAACTTCATAACTTGAAAAATTCAATTGGGTCGTTTAAAGTCATAGAAGTTTATCGACGTTTTGGAGGTGCTCGTTAAAGTGAAATTGCCTCTGAGAGGGATTAACATGTCTTCTGACTGATCTATCTTGGACTTACATATTCTGATACTTGCTACCCTTACGTGATATCTATTTAGAAACTGTCTGTATTCCAATTCTCTTGACTTAAAAGTATTTATTTTATTTATTTAATCTTTTTTCTCTTCCATTCTGGCTTCTGGACTCCTGAAAATTGTACCTATGCACATCTCTGTGAGACATGCAGCTATATTATATGTCTTCCAAACCTAAGTGATGTGAAAGAAATATAAAATATATATTTTTTTAAATATAAGCACAGAATTTTTCTTATTTTTGTATTTTGTCTTGAGAGAGATAAGTATGTTGACAGAATGCACATGTATTTGAAAAATATGTGCAATAAATATAATGCGAAAAGGTTATTTATTTTCGCGACATGACTCAGAAACATAGGAAGCACGTAAATCGTACGTCACAGTTTTTTTTTCTCAAATGTTGGTAACGTAAGTTAACTACAGCTTTTCGGTTTAAGGTCTTCCTTGAAAAGTGGCAGCCCTTCAAATGGTCAAAATATATCCCGTTTTCAGAAGATAAACGAGGTTTTTACCGTGCTCATAAAAGACTGCAATTGAATCCTGTTCAGAGCCAGTTCAATCAAAGCCACAATTTCTACTTTCCTAAGGTCTGTTTTATTCCCATATAGTCATAGGTCCTTTATGTAGGCCTTTCCGTCTGTATTTATCGATCAGGATATTATAATAATTTCTTGTTTTATTGCTATATGAGCGCTCTTTATTTAATCAGATATTGATGACATGAATGAGATTATGTCCTCTTCCAAGGCGAAAGTACATGATAGTGGAGCTTGATTGCCTCTGTTACTAGAACTGGTCTTTGTACCAACGTCTTGGGCTTGCGAACGTAAATTAAGAAGTTATCTTCGTAATAACGAAGTTGCGGGCAGATAAAACTGAGGTAATTGATATTAATTATAAGGTTTCACTTTCCCTAATTCTTCTTTAATCATATTAGTGGTTTTCCAGCAGATAACAGTAGGCTAAAACGAGAATAATGCAATTAAAGAAGTAAGATTTATGCAGCCACGTCTTCTGAAGTAAGGCGTCATCACAGTCGGAATTTTGAAGAAAAAGTGTTTCACGGCGTAGGAAAATAAAGAAGACGCTTAAACAGCCTTCTAAATAATTCATTAATTAACTAAATTAACGGAGTAAGAAGAAGTAGATAAATTATTAGAAATGTGGCCAACCAACTAATGATTGGTCGATTGTTTATATGTCTACAATACAAACTAACTGAATAAATAAGCAGAATATAAATAAATTACTAAGTCGCTATTCTAGCGCTTAAATAAGTGACTTGTCAACTAGGAGAAACAAAACTAAGTAAATGCAAAAAGAGTTAGTACTAAAAGAAATAAATTAAATTAAGAATATTTACAAAACTTTAGCTGGAAAACCTAAAGGGAAGAAACCATTTGGGATGGGTGACCTAAGCATAGGTACGATGATAATATTAAAGTGTAGAGTGTGAGTCTGGGTTCAGTGGTCTGTTATTATGGTCCAAGGGCGAGCTCTTATTGACATGGTATGAAGTTTCGGATTTCAAAAAAATATTGTGGAATTTTTTGAGTGACCTACGTTATTTCCCGGAGGGTAAATTCGACCGGAACATATTCCGTTTCTATGACGTGCCACTTACACCTCAGTGCGCACTGCTTAATTTAGTTTATATTCGCACAACTAATTAAACAGTGTTACAGAATAATACTCTAGTCGAAATTCTGTAGTTGTTTTGGTAACAACAGGTGTGAGAGTTCACAAAACACCACCAGTCTTAGTAATAATATTTGAACGAACAACTCCACGGCACAAGATATTTCTTAAAATTTTGTGACTTACATAGTTGGTGAAAAATTTACATATTTTTTATGGAACGTGGATGTTCATTACCGTGCTCACAAAAGACTAAGCTCCATTTCTAAAGCACTTAAATTCAGTAGATCATTGTACCCTCTTCCTATAATATGCATTATAATATTTCCTCCCATCTATTGATAGATCTCTTTTCTTGTGATTTTTCTCCTAATTTTTTGTGTGCATTTATTACTTCCTTTATACTTGCAGTTCGTCCCTGCCATAAATGTGAAGACTAAGTAACACTATGGCAGTGCACTGGCAGCATCTTTTTCCCGGACTGTCTTTTACTATAATCTTAATAATCCAATGAGCTTGTCGTTCTGTACGAACGGTTTATTCTGTCTATCACAGCGGTCAGCGCTCAGCAAATTCCTAGCGGTTCTGGACAGCTCCAACACAAAGATCATGATTTTCGATCTCGTTCGTTTTATGGATAAATCATTATGCTCGTTTGTAGAAGAGGTCTTGCTGTGGACCAGTTTGCCACTAAGAAATCTTACTAATTATCTGAAAGTATAAGGTTATCAGAAGTGTATTCTGAATCTCAGGACAATAGGCCAAGGTGAAGTATAAAAATATAGGTATCAACTATTCTGTTGTATTAAAGAATGGAGTATATAGTATGAACAAGGATTCAGGACCAAGAAATAAAGACTTTTGTTTTATTCTGAAATAATCCCTTTCTTATTTCTGTTTCATTTTAATATTTTACTGTAGCTCTCATCTTACTGGATATTGAATTTTTAAATAAAAATTATATCACAACTTTTATTCAAGTTGCTGCATTTATTAAATAAGCTTTTTAGAAAAAGAAATTCTTGAACCCCCACAGAAACTTTTTTTTTAAAAAGTACGTCCTATAACAAAACATACGCACATAAACCAGGGTTTACGTACTTTTCTTTTGCTCAAAACTGAGAACCCACCTCCTACAAGCCATAGACAAAGTAAAAACCTTTCTAGCTTAGAAACATTTAAATTTTTACAACCAAAGAAAAGCCTTCTCTTGTTTAATTTGATTCAGCCCATCGGACAAACTTCTTAATTTGTAAACAAATTCATTTCGTTACCACTGTCACTTGTAGGCATACCTGTATTCAGAGGGAGACTCCATCCTTGAGAAGAGGGCCTATTGATCCACTCATCCCCAAAACTTCTGTCTCTTTCAAGCCCTTAAAACATCCCTCTTACCCATTTTCTGTCCTTTTCTAGTACCTCTCCATCCCACTTTATCCAGTCATGCTCTCTACCTTACATCTGCGGAAACGACGAGAGATAAGAAGAAGAAGAGAGAGAGAGGTAATGTGGCAGACGGTGTACCAACTTTGGCGCACGCGGGTTGGGAACAGTGCTAAAATAAGAGTGGAATAAAAAACAGACACACACACACACCTCCGCCCCCCTCACCCCCTCCCCAAGACCCTGACTCGGCGCACTGAGCCGATCTCGCTTCTGTTGTAAACCGCTTGAACCATGCACAGAGACACACACGTTGTCGGATAACCGGCGCGAGAAGTCGTGCTAGTGACACTAGTAGATCCTGGTGACGAGATCGGGAACCACTACAGACAACTGCATGTCGCAACGCGTGTCTGAAAGATATCGAAAGTGGCGGTAAGGCGGTAAAGGACAATAAGCTTTATTCTTATATATTTAAGACGTGCTGTTAACACGATTGTTACAAAAATACACGTGTTTACTTACGCGAAGTTAGGGAATAATTAATAACTAGATCATTCTCGTTGTGTTGGAAACAGTGAGTGATTTTGTTTGATGTGAAACACTTGAAGATTAAACGTGATGTTAGCGTAGTACGTAACCTAAAAACCAAAGTGATATCACTTGACATTTTTTTAGATGTCTTGAAAGTAAAGGAAGAATGTGTGTGTAACAGAACGGTGTATCAGAATTGTAGTCTTCGATACTGCTTTTAGGTTAATGCTACTTGGTAAATAATGATATCTTAGAAAATAGCTACAAAATTATTTGCCACAATTTTTTTAAGAATAAGATTAAGAATCTAAACACGAACTTTCTGTGAAGTTGCAATTTTATCTCAAGCATCCTAAAGGAAATAAACCAGGCACAAATTTTCAAATTAGTAGCAGGAAACGCTGTCAAATATTCGTCATCTCAGGACGAGTTGTGGTAGTGAGTCAGTTTATTGAATAATACAGTACCACGTGTAGGTGTTTCTGCTGCCTTAATTGCGTAATACGAGGGGTGTACGGTAGAGGAGCCTCAGTGGCGGGTGGATTGTCAAGTGTCACTACTCGAATGTTTGAGTTGGCAAAATAATTTAAAGGAACTGTGGCGAGTTTACGTAATACTTCGTGAAAAATAACATTCAGGGGAATACTGTAAATTGTCGCTAAAAGAAATTTTCAATGTTGTAAATTTTATATGGACGGAAGGATCATAAAAACCGCGTATGCTGAATTTTAATATTTCTGAGGGAAACTTGTTTTCTGATTATTGCAATTCATAAATCTCTGTTGATAAAGAACATAGACATAATTAAGCAATTAAACATTTGTAATACTAAAATACCTTTACACCGAGATCAGCCAAGTGCTGGGTCAGAGATGACATCTATAACTTTCATAGTATTTCGAAGAAATAGAGCAAAAACTTTATATAAACATTCAAGAATTTTATTTAGTAAAAATTAACATTTTATTTTTGTTATGTGGATAGAAAAGGTTAAATTAACAACGAAAACACATCGATGCAGAGGAGAATGTACGAGAATATTTCCGATATAAAATATACAGTACAGATCACCTTTATAAAAACGTGGACAAATTAAAACAGTTTCTTCGTGGAACATGTTTATGAAGTGAAGAACGAGGAACAATTGATTTGAGCCCCACACCATTTATCTTAGGAAGGCGACGAGTATAGGTTTTAAAAAGACACGCATTTTTGTCAGTGATTTTCTTTCATAAGACCTATAAGACTGAAAGAGTTATTAATAGTGTTTATATCCTCATTATGGAACAATGTCAGGCGTGTGAGTAGCTTGGAACTAAAACGTGTTACATTGTTGGACAGAAAAGGGGGCAAAATGATGATGAACACGGTGGCAAGTCTTCTCAGCATAATTCTGCAACTGTTTCTGCAAACTTCTGGTAAGTTTATCAACTTCTTAAAGTTTTACTATTTCTCCGTAATGTAGTTCGGTGGCGTATATTATTTTTCAAACTTATTTATAATATAAATCAATCCACATTGTATTTTAACATAGTTTATATTAAAACAATTTATTATAAACGATTATTATTTTAACAGTCGTAAGAATCCAACAATGCTACCAGCATTACGTGTCATTACTTCCCTTCACGAATATTCTGACGTGTAATTTGATATTAGAGATGTTTCAGAGATATTGTTCTTGTTATCTGGTTACATGCTACTTACATGCATTTGTTAGTTGTATAACCGGATTCATTGTGGCTGTGAAGGCATTATAATGCGACTTCTCTTTTCATCCAAGTTTTAAAATTATTATAAAATATAAAATTGTAAAATTATGACATTGTATTAAGCACAGTGGTGACATGTTTAACACATTTTTAAGGATACTGCGATTTGAAAAACTCTTTATGAAAAAGTAAAAAAAGAGATGATTATTGCTTTTTGCGATAATTCATGTCACTAACAAACTAAAACACATGGATTAATAAACTGTTGAACAGTTTTCATAAGTCAGAACAAACAAGAAGACACGAGCCCTTTCTTTTATGTAGCATCTACGCTGTTTCATGAACTGAATTTTGACTTTGTTGCACAAAGGGTTCAAACCAGGCAAGCAGTGAGTGGCTTGGATTTATACCAATACCACTTAGCACTTAAAATCTGAGGGTATTTGTCTCAGGTGCAATTACATGAGACTCTAATGGATACATTGGTCATGTGAGTTTGTGCATAGGAAATCGATATAGTCTTTTATGTAACTCATAACTTTTCTTGTTATTTTTGTTCTTCATACGTCACTGATTTATCGTGTTCTGTATCGGAAATCTAGTCTTAGTCATGCCATTTAGCTATTTACATGCTGTTACTTTCTGTAGAAAAATATTTTTTTAATTTTACAGTTTCATAGCGTATTTTTGATTAAGTTAGTCGGATTCTGTTGATGGCTTCAAGGTATTTTTAAATTAACTGTTAATGGGTATATTAAAAATGGTAAGAAATGACAGGAGTGATGATACCACACATCATAAATACAGAAGTTCAAATTGACCAGCTAAAGAGTTCATTTCTCTTCAGAGTTTTCCACACAATAAATTATATTTAAGTAACAAAATTTATCGGTAACTATTATCAGATTAATATTCTGCATGCACCTTCAATGAACGTCATAAAAACCAAGTGGTACTTATCTGGCCCGCCAGCTTCACAATCTCTAAGTCTAAACTTTTTACGTTTCGTATAATTCTTAGTGAGTAATAGCAGAATGCCCGAAGTGCTACTTCGGGGAGTCACCGTGGCGACCTAGGCGACCCTAGCGACCTGACGTCTATAGTGCCCGGGGCGACTAATACGATCCGAGCGACCAAGGCGGCGACCGTGGTGTTAGAACCGCCTTGGAAAATATTGCAGTCGTGGCGACCTAGTGACTTGCGGGAGTTTGTCTAGTTGCACTAGGCTTAGGTCTGCTAACATCGTGCACTTACGCCATCCTAAGGATTTTCTTGGAGAGATTTGAAAGTCTGAGTCGTCGCAAAACTCTACGTCGGTCTTCCGGCGTCGTTTCTCGGTTAGTCTAAGCTAAGTATGGTGTCTAATGTCGGTGTCGGGACAGTTGGTTTTGCGACGCTGCTGATTGGTTTTCCAGCATTGTGCCACATCGCTTCCAGAGGCGTTTCATGATTTTGTTTGATGTTCTTAGTCGGCGTTGAGACGCTCGACGTCGGCTTCCAACGTCGTGTCTTGTGACTTTTCAGGTTCATGTTCGCTACTCGTGGAATGTTTATTCGGCGTCGCGACGCCTCTAGTGTCGATGCTTGTCGATTTTCCACCGTCTTGTTTAGTACCTTAACTAAGAAGACGCACGCTATATGAGGAATCTTTTCAGCGTCTAGACGCTTGTTGTTTGTTTGTGCGTATCCTGACCTATGTTGTGACATATCTAAGTTCATCTGCTCAAAAGTTGGAATTATGTGTGGGCGTAATAACGCGAATCGTCAGGACTCTCGTCGGAGGTTTCTACGTGTTTTCCCGAGTACCACGTATTTGTACGAGAATTGTAGAAAAAATGATCCCGAAACCCGAAATGTTTATCGAGACTCGAACCCAGGAGAGTTTTCTGTGATGTGGCGATTGTTACGTTTGTCTCTTTTTTTCGTAACAAACAACCCTGGTATTGATACTGTTCTTCTGCCCGAGTTACATAAATCTTCGCTGGGAATCGTACCCGGGGTCATTTTCGAGGTTCTGTTATTTGTTTCAGCAATCTCCGGTTACAAACAAATGATTTTGGTCAAGGTGCCGTTCTTATATCGTGCTTGGTTTCCGAGCAACGGGAAACGCCCTAAGCTGGAATCGAATTCAGGACACTTTTGTGGAGTTTTGACCATGATATGTTCTCTTCCTGGTCTCAAACAATAAACATGCGAAGTTGAGTTGAAGTTTGTATATCCGTTCTCAAGCTCTTAGAGAACACAGACAAAGACACAAAATTTCAGTATACAAGGTTGTTTGGGCTTTACAGGGTTAAGGCAGATTCTCCGGAATAATCTTTACACAGCGTTGAACAGTCAGTCGCAAGGAAATGCAGTAGTTGCAACTAACAAGTGTGATGATTCATTCGAACTTATAATTACTGTATATTCTGAACTCTGATTCGAGCAAGTTGCTGACAATTATGAATTAATTGTTCGCAATGAAAAATGTGTTTCATGTTGGACAAAATTACACATTTCCCCGTATGACTTGAGATTTTGACATTACGTCAGTCTTTTGGTATCACTGGCATAAATTATTTGAAAACAACTTGAACAAACTTTTAATTGGAATTTTCTTTTTAACTTACTACATGAATTAGCCAGGGTTAAATATTCCTCCCCTCAAACTGTTATCCCCCATTTCTCGTTTCTTCGTCAAATCTGGTTAAAGCAGAGAACTTTGCAAGAAATCGGAAGGAGAAAAGGTAAAAATTATGGCGTTCTCTTTCTCTTGTAAAACTAAGTCGCAGCCCTTTAGTAGCACTCGGACAAATAAGTTATGGCTTTAGGAGGCATGGATTCAGTAATTATTTTCTAGTCAACACCGAAATCGATTTTGCTGAGACGAATACTAATAAGCAAAACGCTAGTTATGAAAAGAAGAGAGATGGAGAATACAATAAAGGACTGAAGTAAGACCAGGAACGCCCTTTTTTTGAGCGAGCATAGCTTTCATATATGAATTCTATGAAAATTGATACTTTTTTTTAAAATTTGTAAATCCCCTCTCTTGATACTTTCGTTATTAGATTAGACAGAGCAATCAGAAGTGCGTTATCGGCTCACTGGTTTTGTGTACAGCGTGAACAGTCAGAAGACATACAAATTTTTATAGAACTTTATGCAAACAAGTAAGTAGGAGATCGGTGTCGCAAAAGTCCTAGAAGTAAGGGGACTCTTATTCTGAAATATTTGTTATTGCTCAATTTTTACATATTTTTACATTTATATGGGTAGGTGGTTTGAAGCTGAAATGGTGAGCAGAGAATTACAAACTCTTCCTAGTTTAAAATAGACCCCTTCCAGTAATACGCCATTTAATTCTTTGCAATTTAAAAAGTAGATGCTAATGAAGCTTGCCTGAAGACCTCACTTCAGTGCAAGAAAAAGTTATATCTTGTAGGCTCAGTTATGTAAAACACTTTTATTCATAGATTATTTTGGTTTCTTTTTAAAGTACTTCCACTTTAGACGGCTATTTTCGGGTCCTGTCTGAGCACAGAACGTGATTTCACTCAGTCTCCGACAACGAATGACAGAAAATTCTTTAAACTTTGGTAGTTACAGAGCTGGTTAAAAAATATTCAAGCACTTAGTTCGAACCGAAAGATTTATGCGAGATTTCAGGTTCTCACGGCGATAAATATGAAGATAGCTATCTTTAGAGATTTTTCTTTACAAAGTTCACAAGAATCCGCCAATGGTACTTTGCTATATTAATGCAATTCAGAAACCCCCACAATATTTAATTTCTAACAGTTTTAATATTATCTTTCTACAGACGCTTAGATCTGCTCTCTTTCCTTTAGGATTTCCAAGCAGAGTTTTTTACGCATTTCTTGTATCCCCCATGTGGGCGACAATGCAGAAAGTTAGAACTCTTTAATAGTCATATCCTCCAACATATTGTTTAAAAACAATATTACTATTATTATTAATTAATTAATAATCTGAAGATTTCTTTGTCTTGTTTGAAAATTTAAACACCTTTGTTACATCACTGTAACACCTGATGCTAGACGGATGGCTTTATCGAGTTATTGGATTTTCGGTGGACTGAAGGGTCATCTGATATTGGTTTGCATATGAGCATGGCATCAAATGTTCGGGATATTCTTCTGTGGAAAAAATAATTGGCTACTGTAATCCAGCACCAGATTAACATTTCTCTAAACAACGCAATTTATCCAGATAAATATTAAAGTTTTTATTTTTGCTGTGAAAATAATGATACTGAGGGAAGGTTAGAGTCCGGTGCCTTGGTTTTGTGAACACGACGATGAACCTTCGAGTTCCATAAAGAAAGTGGGCTTTTCCTTGACAAACCAAGTGTACAATCAACATTTCAAAGAATGTCCTGCACAATAGATCGAGAGAATGAGTGAAATAATGATTCTGTATGCCTAAGTGTCGAAGGTGGTTGTCAACAGGGATAAGTTTGGAGCTGGATTTGCATAAAGGTCAGAGATTTTCTCTTCGAAAACACGTCTAGACTGGGTCTGTTCCCCGGACTGCTGGCTAGAGGTCAGTACGCATCCATAGGGTCCAGCGAACTGCCAATTCAATCAGGGTTATCCGTGATTTTCCTTGGTCGCAGAGTAAATTCTGAGTTTGAACACAACCCCATGTTGGAGTGCATGCTTCACGTGCAGTATTGTCGATATTAACATCAATCCTGTGGTCTCGGGTTCGATTCCCGGCGGTGCCCGAATTTATAACTTGTGTTGGGTAAGGCCGTGGTCTAGGCAACACGGAGTTTTCCTCCGGGGGCTTCTTCCCCGGTTTCTCCGTGGCATCCCAACAATTACTCCATTCACACACAGAAGAAGGCAATGGCAAACCACTTCTGGATCATCTGCCAAGAACGTATATGAACGGGTCCCAGTCCGAGAAAAGGATGGAAGGATCCTGTTCGTATGGACCTGTCGTCAGACAGAACACTGAATAAATAAATAACCGAGAAAATTGTATTTTCTTGTATAGGTTGATGACCATCATAATAGTTGTCCTCAAAGAGGCTTGAACTCATGTCCTACATAAAGGTTCCCGTTAAAGCACGTGTCACATGTGATATATGGTTTACAGCCATGTCGTATGAGAGCGTATGGTCCAGTCTGCAATAACCATGGAGCGCAGATAAATAAGATGAGTTCTGAAACGTCAGCGTTTCTGTCACGTGACAGTTCTTGCCACAGCTGGTGCTAATATTGTTTTTCCCTTAGAGTGAAATTACACAATTTGTTCAAGGCTAAACGTGGCTGCTGGCCGCAATTAAACAAAGCACTAATTCCCGAAAAAAACAATAAGGGTATTTTATTATAGCACATGCTTGCTTGTAAATTAATTGTTACCCGTAACTTCAGGCTCTCGGAGTGTTTAAGTAAGTAAGAAGTGTAAATTATTACTGTAACTTGAGTTTAAGTAATGGGTACAGCTGGTGATATTTTGCACTGTAAATTATAGCATATCATAGCGTCGGCTTTCAGGAACGTCATTTAAGAGGAACATACGAGTAGTTATGATTTTCAAATTTATTTAATGTTAAGGTAGGAGATGATCATGACCAGGAAAACAAATGATGATCGTGATGAAAGAATGAAGTAAAGGAAGGAGATAATGAAAGAATTGGTGAAAAAGGAAAAAAAAAAAAAAGACAATAAAAACAAAAGAAATTAAAATTACATAATTTATGTTCAACTTTGGTTTGTGAAGTTATCAACTGCATTGTTTGCCGAAAGGTTTGGTAATTTTCAGCGCTGGTGATAATGGTGATAAATGTTGTTTTATACGCGGCTTATCACCGAAAGTCGAAGTTCTACATTGAATCCTGCCACGGAAACCGAAAGACAAGAGATTCATAATTAATACTATATCAGATGCAATGAAAAGGATTGGGAAATGCCTCGTTCACAATTTGATTGTCGCTTCTAATTTATCTGCATCCTATTTCGTCTTCATTAAATACAAATAATCCTCTCAAAGCATTTTTCTGACACTGTCACTAAATCTGTACTTCTCTTAGCTATGTTGTAGAGTGTCAGAGGATATTAAAATTTTGCAATACAGAAATGTTTCTTAATAGAACTGCATCCGGCTCAATTTCATACGTAATTCAGGCACGAATTAAGACAACAGAGATGAGAAGTAAAACGGAAATGGAAATAAACTGACAAAGTAGGTTCATTTTGCTGCTGAAACAACACGTTAACATTGTGTATTAAGTGGGCGCATAATAAGGTAGAATGACAAGAAGGAATGTTTAATAAAGGATAACTCATAGAAAATAATCCGTAGGATGGGAGAGAAAGAGTGGCATAAAGTAAAGGACGAGTGAACTAGGCGCCTGTCACGAATGGAGAGAAACGAGAAAATAACCGCAGATATGTGAAGAAAATTTGTAGGAGAAGGACAGAAAAACAGGAAGTGTACAAATGAAGGGGGTTCAATTATAGTGAGAGGAAGACACAAAGGTTAGTGGTAAAGAATTTACCAACGCTAGGCAGTTTGATGGGGGCAGTTTTCTCATTTCACGGTCCAAACCACCACTCACCCTGCAGGCACCCCCAAGCCACTGAGCTAGCAAAACAGGCCATCTCTACTGTCAGGTTCATGATTCAAGCACCCTCCAAATTCTTACTTTGTCTGTCAGCCGAAACAGTGCGCACGAGAAGAAGGGTCCCGGTGTTTCCAGAGCGGGAAATTTCGTCTCAAAGTAAAGTTATTCTTACGCGTAATTAAGCATCACGCTACAAAGGTGTATGGAGGAGTTCAGGTGTAGCTCCACGCGTTAGTAACATCGGCGATGCGTGCATGTGGCATTGCTGTTTAATGTTACTGCAATCTCAATGTGAAAAATCTTAGTTTCCCTTTTATTTACCAATGCATGTGGTCTGTTGGCCATAAGCTCCTGATCTATAACTACCGTTGTATCTTAATACAGTTTTTCTTTGTTATTTTCCATAATATCTTGTGCTCTGTCGTTGGAAAAGGAGTTACAGTCTTAACTAATTTGATAATTCGTATTATCATGATATCTCTTAATGTAATATTTTCGTCAAATTAGTATGTATATTAGTATAGTATATCTTGATCAACGTAATATAATGCCCACCTGACTTCAAGCTGCTCTGTTCTTGACAAGCTAAAACTAGCTCAGGTAGTCAAGAAATTCGCCGATTTAATAGAATCCGACGTTTCGTCACCGTGTTCACACGGGCCAACCACTGGGCCTTAACAAATACACTTGAATTCATTCCGCAGCCTCACACTCTATTACTTTTAAGAACAATTTTAATATTATCCTACCACTTACTCTTAAGAAAAATGTTATTTATTGCTATTTTTGACCCTAGGGTTGTAGGCTAAACGTGAACATAAAAGAGACCCATTGTGTTGTGTGATTTATTTTGTTCTGTGCCGCCAACCCGTGAGATCTCTACAGTAGGAATTAAAGGAATAGAGAGATCTATGTTGTGTAGGAATGGAACGGATAGAGAAGGGGCATTTGGGAAAAGGAGGAGAGGATTAAGAGGGGAACGAGTGAGAGGTGGGTGAAGAGACCTGAAGGTAGAAATGGATGACCCTAACGGATAGATAGATTAGCTGAAAGGGGAGAAATAAGCAAAAAAGAGAGAGGACTAAAGAGAAAAAAAACTTTCAAAGGTAAAAGGAAATCGACATACCACAAGTTAGAGAATCGAAAATGTAGGGAGGTTGAAATAATATTGAAATTTTATAAGTTTTAATTCGAAAAATAAACATGGATGGTAAATATCACGTTTATTAAGACTTTCGTCATTTCCTGTTGCACTGTTCATAGGTTAAAAGTATTTTCGGGCGTTATTTAACGATGATTTTGCTACTGTACAGTTCATGGCCCATAATTCATTGCAATTATTATGAATGGTGACTGGGAGGAAATACAGGAAAAAGGATAGTGGTCGGTAAACCAGATATTTGCACAGAATTTGGCAACATGTCTACTCCTGATAAAAATATTACTTGGTATTATTATTATTATTCAAGAAATTAAATCATTAATGCACTCAGCGTAAAAATTTTAACTTTGACATTTGATACGTGTGAAAGGACAGAGAATTCCTAACTCTTGATATTCTACACGGAATAATTCCACTGTGAATGGCAAGGGACTTTTCCGGCTGTAGAATTGGCCACTAAATCACATCGGAGGATCAGAAATACATGTAGGTGTTATTGTAAAATGTCTGTTACTGTTGTAAAATTTTTACGAAAATTTCGGTAAATTTTATTAAACAAAATTAATGAAAATCTGTTCAGTAATTCGCACGAGAACAAATGGACAAAGCTGATTTAATAGACGATCTTCAGGGTCGCCTAAAATGGTTCCGGGAATCTGGAATAAGAATAGCAAACTGCAAGTTTTACAGAGAAATCTTATTTGCAGAATTTGCTTTTTGTAGATCGGAGTAGTGCAGTTTGAAGGCTTAAAATGCTGATGGTTTTCCCTTCCGATCTGAATAGCTCGTCCGCAACATTTATCAAGTGGGTGGTGGGATTCACCCCTTAAAAAAGTACATTATCTGGCCTCCATCAGTGCAGGCAGTCGGTGACCTGGTCACTTCGCCGCGAAGGTGTGTTCCTCTAGACTGCTCAATCTCAGATGAAATAAAAGTAGGTCTGTTAATATTTAATAAATGAAGTGCAGGCGGACAAACACCATTTGAATTTCTCCCGACAACTTTTAATCCTTATTGTATCTAACGTGGTTTATTTAAGGGCACTTTCATAACTCAAATCGGGTAGCGTCTAATAATGAGTGAATTATGAATAATGAATTGGACAGGATGTGGAAAGAATTGGTCTTTGCTTAATTTAAGGTACAATCCCTGTGTTTAGCTGGAAGGGCGAAGGAAAAAACCCCTAAAGCTAGCAGGCAGAATACGCTGCCTCGGGAACATCTTAAAAGGATTCGGCAGAATGAAGTTTCCGTACATTATCCGCGGAAGTCGGGGTAAGGTGGACGGTAACCATTACAATCCAGCGAAGAAAATAGGGCTGAAGAAGTTCATAACTGATGCGAAGCAACATAATAGACGTAGAGTGATTTGTAACTAGACAAGTGTGAGAAAGCATCGCAGATTACATGTGTGTGGAATTGGAAGTGAGGACATATGCTTCAACATTTTCTAACTCCGAACAGCGAAAGAATTACTTACATGGGTTAGAGCTTTTGTAATAACTTCGCGCACTTATCGGTAAGGAACGTTCCTTGGGCCTTCGAATTCTGGTGAAATTAATTTTGCTTTCGTAGTATCTTGTAAAGGCCAAGTCTGAAAATAAGTAATTGTGAACAGCGAACATGTTTGTTTCGAGAAAGATTAAGCAAATTTCTGCATTTCCATTATCAGTTTCTGCATGATTAAAACTACTTAAGCCATACTTTAAACGTCATCCGGAAAAAATGAAAGAACCTGAGGAATTTCGTGTTCTTCTTTCTCACTTCTCCTTGCAGATGTCATCAAATACATTGCTGTCGTCTCATTTAACATTATGTTCCGACGTACTTGGTACAGCGTCGTCAAATGACCTACCGGTCTATTCTGTGTAGTGGTTAAGGTTGTAGACTTGTATCTGGTAGATATCCGGTTACCCTGAATGAGTTTTGTCGTGGTTTTCTTTAGACATAGCTGGTAAATATATATATTCACATAGACAACAATTGAATGCTAACTTCAGCAGCTGGTAAATATATGCATTCAGATAGACAACAATTGAATGCTAACTTCAGTTCTTGCCTGATCATTATTGAGCATTTTCTTCACAATAATAAGCAACTTCATAGAGCAGAGACCTCTTCCCTGCCTTTTATGAAAACCAAAGGTTCATTGTTACTGTGTTCACTGGACCCTAGCCTGAACCAGATGGTTCCACTGTATATCCTTATACCTTATTTCTTTAATAACAATTTTAATATTATCATCCTGTCTAAGCCTAGGTCTGTTAAGAGTCTCTTCCCTTCAGATTCTCATCTCCTCCCGCCTATTTTATTCTTGGTTTTTGCAGAAATTCGACACAAAATAAAATTCGTCCGTGAAATCGAGTACGTTTTGTAACTGTTATACATAAAACAGTAAGACTGACGAGTTAATAAGAAATGTTACTCTTTCTTTCCGTACTATGGATCTTTTTAAATAAGGAAAGCGAAAGAAATATTTGTCGCTGAATATCCATTTAGCAATCAGAATAGTCTTTTGAGAGCGTAAGAGTGGGGGAAAGAAACATAGAATGAAGTCAGGTGATAAACCTGTGAAAAGCGACACTACGCTAGTCAGAAGTTATCGATGCAAATTAAGTTTTATAAATTTCCTTTTCTCCCCTCTTGCATTTTGCTTCACTTTTCGCCTTCATTTCTTCTCTAGCTTCTTGGCCTCCACTTACCTTAATCCAGTGTCAACAATAACAGACGCGCGGAGTTTCATAACACCCACAAGTTCTTACACCTCTGCTCCTATTCCACCTTCTGAAGCCGGGAGATGAAATTTACTTTGAGCTGGTGGTGGTTCCATGCACTTTCCTCTCGACTGAAAACAAACATATTCAAAGAAATTGAAAGTCTGGAATTGGCTTCACACTTAATGGAGCGACGTCTTTTCTTTCACACAAAGTTTATTCTTTTCGACATGCAGGACATTTCACACCTGCAGGTCTTCTAATGTTATTACTGTAATTTCTAGAAGGTTACGATTGGCTGGGAGGATTTTGGTGGCGAAATCTCTTAAAGACTCTTTTAAGACTGAAGACAAAATATAACGGCAACATTAAAATGGATTTTAGGCAAGTAAGATATTGGGATTGGATGTGGATGAATCTTAATCAGGATCTTCATTAATGTCGGGGTTCGAATTCTGCTTCTAGAAATTGTTGCGTCATGCAAAATCAGTAGTCAGACTTCAGCATTCTTGAATTATTATCCGACTTGCAATAAAATAGTTCACGAAGCAACAGTGTCATTTCTAACTAACTAACTAGATGGCTTACCGAACCCGAAGGTTCATCACCGAATTAACCAAAGCCCTCCACCGGACCCTGTCCTGGGCCAACAAAATCCAGACTCCTTCAACTCCTATCTCCCATAGATCCCGCCTGAGATTATCCTCCCATCTACGTCTAGGTCTCCCCAGCGGTCTCTTCCCTTCAGGGTTCCCAACCAGTACCCGGTGCACACCTCTTGTCCCATCCATGCGCGCTACATGTCCCGCCCATCTCACTCTTCTCGACTTAATCACCCTCACAATACTGGGGGAGCAGTACAGATTTTTAAGCTCGTCATTGTGCAGTTTTCTCCACGCCCCATCGTCTTCCCTCTTAGGCCCAAATATCCTCCTCAACACCCGATTCTCAAACACCTGCAATCTGTGTTCCTCCCTCTGAGTGAGAGACCATGTTTCGCACCCATACAAAACAACAGGCAAGATTATTGTTTTGTATACTTTAATTTTCAGGTTCTTAGAAATCAGACGGGAAGACAAAATATTTTGGACTGAGAAGTAGCAAGCATTTCCGGAATTTAGTCTCCTCCTAACTTCCTCACAAGTATCATTTTGATTTGTTATTGTTGTTCCCAAATATTTGAACTTTGTAACCCTTTCAAAGGATTTATTAGCCACCCTAAGAACAGTGTCATTTCGCATCTTACAAAACACAGACCTAATTAAGGATTTTATAACTTTAAAATCTGTTACCATTTCGGATTCCGCGTTCATTTGCGTTTAGCTTGCCCCGGCCTCGAAAGTCACACGAAGGCCATGTTGTTTATGTACGTCACAGAAAAATAACAAGCTTGCAAAAGTGTAGTCTTCGGAGTGCACTGAAATTCCTCGTCACGAGCTTTAACGTCAACAGCGGAACCAAGTTTATTTATTTGAAGTGCAAACATAGTATCATAGGCATCAATGTTTATTGTTGCAACAATGTAGTCTAATGTCATTGTTGTGACAGTGTATTGAAAGACGCTATAGACAGTCAGATATGGTCGGGCACGTAATATGTCACGCTTAAGCAAGAATAATGCGTAAGAACAACCAACCATTGTCAAGATGTTCATACCAGTTTAATGTAAATTAATTTTTGTTGTTGAATTAGGCGATAGACTGACAGAAACTCCGAGCTAGTAAAAAGGATTCCCAAAAGAAACCCTAATATAATACAAATTGAACTGAAACCAAAGAGGGAGAAAAATGATAACAACGTATAAAAATGGAATTATGAATGTAGGAACCGAGGGTGAGGCAACAAAGGACTTGTCGCCATAAAATGTAAATTTCATTAGGTTCAAGAACTTGATAGAATGCCACTACAAAGCAAGAAAAGGTTCTGTTGTTCTTTAAAGTAGAATTTCCTCTACCTAGTTTCACGTTTCTTTCAGGAACTACATTACATTTATACGAAGAATAGACAAACCAAAAGAGGACAAAGGTTTGCTTTGACGGAAATCAGAAGTAAACAAGAGAGACGAGACTTGTTTCTAGTGACATCTCTTTAAGACCGCATCAAGTGGCTTAGCAGTATAGACAATGACCTCCATTTCAACAAAATGCAGACTGAAAATGACAGATGAGACGGCTAAGGGGACAAGGGGTCCTGGAAAGGGACGAGGCACTCCGCTCTGTTTTCTTTTCTCTGCCTTATTCTCGGCGCTTTCTGTTATTTCTTGAGTTATTAAATTAAGGTAGATAAGGGCTTTGAGTAAAGGGAAGAAAACAGTGGAACGGCTTGTCGAAGGCTTCAATAAGGGGTGGACGGGGGTTGAAGATTTGAAGAATCGCTCTCTGGCTTGCTCTGACGGGAAACAGCAAAATACCACAAAGAATGCTCTGTTGTCGAATGCTTGTTAAAATAAGGCATTGCTCCTGGAAAATGGGATTACGAAACTATACCATTAACGGACCGATTAATGAACCCAAGAAATTATTTGATGCTCTGAGCTGCGACTAATCGAATAGAGTAGAGTTTACGTTGGTTTAGGGAACGTGTATCTTTATGCAGTGCAGTAAAGTTTGAGCTTGCGTATTTTGGAGTCTATCGGCCTGCACGTGCATTTGAGATTTTGAGATTCTGACAATGGCGAAATGTAGATTGTAGTGTTCTGGGTTCTGACTCCTTGTAGTCTTATAGGTAATTACTAATGTTTTGGAGAAATGTATCGCCTCCATTTTCAAGATAGAAAGTGGATTCGATACTTATCCAAAACGTTTCTAACCACATACAACGTCAATGTGAACTAAACCACAAGCAACATAATTTCCACGAAGCCAGTTCGTTGATATGTAACACGATGTCAATACTCCTTTGTGTTTAAGAGGCCCGGGGCTCGATTCTCGAACAGTAGTCTCACTGTTTCCCATAGCTTTACATGATGCCGTATCCCGTGATAGGTTTTAAAGAAATTTTAATTTTTCCTTCAAGTAAAATGTTCCAAAACTGGAGTCAGCATAATATTCGGGGTAAATTGCATTCTGGCATTTTCAATTTGAAATGACACTATAATTTACTACTGTCACTATAACCCTGAATGCTACAAACAAATGTGTCATTGAATGATTTTATTGTTGGACAGGTTCTGCAGTTTAAAATCAGTTTAAGCTCACTGCAGTTTAGCCCCACGGCTCCAGCAGCACCAAAATATTTAACGAGGAATTTCATTGACTGGAAAACACTGTGTGTTTTAACTAGAATGACGTCCGAAATCAAACATTTAATCAAATTTATCTCCACAATTAATTAATTTTTTGTAGGGATATTTTAGTTTAAAACTTGGATTACAACTCATTTTCTCCAGTTATGCTTGTTAATATTCCGTTATTCTCATTTGTAAAGTTATGTAGGTTGATTATTTGACACATTTAAAAGTATTTATTTATATTTGTGTCCTACGTCTACTTTTGTTTTGTTTTGTTCATAAGCACGCGTAAAAATCATGTTCTGTTCCATTATATTCTTGTTTCTAGACCAAAATCCTTTACCGATTTTCTAGAACGTATTGCTGTTTAAAAGGACGGGTACTGGAACAGACGAACGCCGTGAGTCAGTCTTTTGTTCAGGTTACAATTCATGAAAATAAGTAGAACTACTCGGACGATTTGTGATGTACTCTGAAGGAGATTACCGGTTGCTAACTGATTTATCTCGCACGGAGAGAAAGCTGTCGTCAATCTTGCGGTATTACTTTGCGTCGTCGTCACTATTGTGGCATTGACAGTTTTATCTGTTCCGAAATGTTGGTAACAGTGATATAGAACTATTCACTAAATGTTGCTTTACATGCACAAGAATAATGAAAACAGGCAAACAAATCCGTTAGGGTTGTGTAAAACACATTCCGTAACACTGGAATGCCAACACAGTGGTGATTAAAATAGTGAGAATGAATGGAAGTTTGTTGTAAAGGAAACATGATTAATCGTTCTTCAAATCTTACAACAGCGTTCCTCACATTGTCAGTGGTAGTGCATAATTCGAGAATGAGCACATATTCTGATCGTGAATACTCCAGATTTGCACCTGCAAACCTTTTGCGCAACTGGCGTGGGCAGCGGCCTAGCAACTAGGTTGACCTTGACTCGAGTGGTACAGGGGAGATTAGTTAAGTCTTTTACGTGGGATGGAACTACTTACAATTTAATTTTGTACTTTAGAACGGGAATTTTGATTGGTTGTGTTTTAAACTATATCTTCTGTAAGTGGATTTTTATAAGGATGTCCCGAACTTTGGGGGGGGGGAACTTTATTTAGGCAGTGGGGTGGTTCTGTTTACATCTAAGAATGGATCTGCCAATTACCACCTAGCCATAATTTTATTTCCGAAACAGGGGACCCCAAAAATCGGGCTGTTTCTTTAACAGGGAGTTCGACTGAAACTGTTCATGGAAACGACGTGAAAAATAATATACTGTAATTTCACTACATTTTCACGTAGATGTTCACTTGCAGTCGTTCCTGTCACGAGTCCCTGCTGTTAGAAAGACAATTTTATTCTCCCTCCCCTTCCATCTCTCGATAATCTTCAACGCCATCTTACAGAATTCTTTCTTCTCTTTCTCTTGTGGATGTTCGGTTTTTTGACGTTTCCATTCTATGGAGAGACAATTCTGCTCGAATGATCTGAACACTTCGAAAACAGAGGAAGAAAATCGTCGATAAAAAAATCCATTTTAAACCACCATAAAGAGCAAAACTCTTACTAAAATGTGGGCAAAGACGGTTTGAGAAAAGTGAGTTGAGGAAGACATGAGTGAGAATAGAGTGGCAGAACAGCAAAGAAAGAATGTGTTTATAAAGAGAAGCAAAGATCTGAACGATTTCAGGTTAAATCAGGTGGAATGCTGTGTGCCTTAAAATGCCTTCTTAAAGGATTTCTTGAGTCGACGTCGATGATTATTAAATGGTTATTATATGATGACTGTGTTGATTTTATTATACTTATTGTGACAATGACGAGTATTATTAAATGATATTTTTTATGACTAGCCTCTTAAATAATAGTTTCGTGTTTGTAATGAAAATTATTGTTAAATGATGATGACTTGATGACGTTAAATTATTATAAGGAGATTATTTGGTGATGAAAATTACTTACATTATGATGATTTTATATTGATGTTAATCATTATCACAGTTTACTTTAAAGGCTGTTAGAGTCAGAATGAACTTACCCAAATGGATTTAGTTGGCAGGAAGTAATCATAGAGCCGCTATGTCACTAAAATTTGTTCAACAAGGAACAGTCGTGTCCGTACAATCAGTAACTTCTGTTTGTACAGGCTTTCTGACGAGCCATACTACCGTAAACAGTCTTACCAAATTGGAAAAAAAAGTTTCAGATACTGGCAGAAAACTTCTTCATAAAGGCCAAGACTCAAAGTTGCTTATAGCTCCTGTGTTGTAATAAACACACTTAAGTAATGTCAGTAACAGCAGTAAATATTAAGCCATAATTTCATGGAATGTTTTTTAGTACAATTGACGATTTTCTGGCTGTTGGTTTCACGTGCAAAATTTTTATATTATCGAATTCCGACTATTTTATTTGGTTTAAGCGGAAGGCATACTGCAACAAGTTTGCGATGTATGGAAGTGTTTTTAGGTCATACTGTAGCTTAAAAACGTTTTGCTGCAAACTCTATTAAATTACTTGAAGAAAATTGCGTATCCTTAGCTCACCCATCTCATAAGGAGGAAATTACCTGCTAATGGGACCTCCAAGAAATGTGACCCGGGAAATACTTTGTTGCCAATTTGTTTGAGTATAATTCATTATTAAAAAGTTACTTTAACTTTTTAATGCCTGTAGTAAATATCTGTTCCACCTGCTTTAGTAATCAAGAAGTCTTCGTATTTCTGTTAGTTTCGTATGAATCTCAATATAAACAACGATTTTTGGCAGCGTGCCGACGCTTGGCGTTGGTTTTAAATTTTTTTGTTCAAATGCATCCGGAGGCTTACCTCTGCCACACAGCGTCTTTTCCTCCATCGCGACCCTCGGCGTCGGTTTTTCAGTCTCGTTGCCGATGGCATCTGGAGGTTCACCTGCGAAAATTTTGGCTTATTTTGGGGTCGTCGCGAAGATAGATATCATGACGCTTGGCTTCAGTATAAAGATAACTGTCTTCTGGGTTTAAGTTCCGTGTAGTTTGCCTTTGTCGCCCTGATGATGGAGGCAACAGGTACCTCAACCTTTGGTTATCTTCTACCAGAATAAAGGGCGCTCCAACACAGAGGATAGCCGTCTTCGTACTTGCCGCTTTGAGATTCTCAAAGTTTTCTTAGTTTTCCGGTCATTAGTTATGGCTTCCTATAATTAGTTAATTTCATTCTCTTTGTGCAAAGAATGCTTAACTAGACTCTCCTCGTTTT